AGCCCCGCCCCACTCCTGCTTCCAGACCGGTCCACTCCAGTTTGAGAGAAGGGGTTAGCATTTTGTAGCTTCAGAAATGTTTTATTTACAATTTAATTAAAAGATTTCAACAACAGAAGACTTGTCCATCCAGCCTTTTCTGCCTCCTAGAGACTCCAATTCCACAGCAAAATGTATTAAAAAAGTGGATTTTGCACAATATCCCCTTTTTAGTATTAGAAGTAAAAGTATTGAGTAAAAGTAAGGGGTTAGATTTTCCAAAATCCCCTTTATTGGTGGGTGAGCCAAAAAAAWTTTTTTTTCTAAAGGCCATAATGACTATATAATTTTTTAACAAGCTGGAATGAAAACAATTCAAAATGAAACAAGGCTATTTTTAAAAATAAAATTACTTTGCACTTCCCTAACCTGGCTTCAAACCTGCAGCCTCGGACCATAACACCAAACCCCCTCAGAACCCCCTCATCTAATCAAACTCAAAACTCCCACTTGTTGATAGGAGCTCTAATCAGACAGGAGAATCAGCCACTGGAGGAGAGAAAGGAGGTCAGTTCTAGGAAACATTTTGTGATAAGGCCACAGGAAACATGGCCAGGCTGAGGCTTTGTGAAGTTGTGATTATCTAACAGCACAGAAAAGGATTTTTCTCGTACATCATGGTGCGAAGCCGAATCAAACCTRGAAGAGTGAGAACTTTTTTTTGATGAAACACCTTTTCAAAGCTCTTTTCTTTCATCTTAAATCCCCACCGCTTCAAACGTGTGCCTCGTTGTACAAGGAAAGCTTTAGGATTAAAAAACACACACCTCAGCCTTTTGACACATCTGAGAAAGATATTCTGTAATTATTTACATGTTAAATTTATGCACTTTGGTCTTTTTACCAGCAGAGGTCAGACTGCTCACAGGGCTGCCTTTTCTTCTCTCACTATCAGTCCTGAGGAGACTCAAGGACAGACTGAGAGGAATGTTCCAGAGAAATGTAAGGTTTTAAGAGAATAAACTGATTTTATGAAAAAATGTCCCAAAGGAAACAAGCATTTCCTGAGCTATTCCTGTTAGTCTAAAGAATATTTCCCAATCACCCCGATGGATTTTCAGGGTTCAAACATCCTTAGGCTCCAATTCTGGGTTCTCCCTTCTTGACGTTTCGTTTTCAAAGGTTTCCTGAGGAGCACAACGGATCTCTGAGGGGGCCCAGTTCTCTAGTGTTTCCTCTGTGCCTGGAGGAGGTCTCAGAAACACACAGGGGACCATCAGCTGTGCTTAATAAAGCCCTTGGCTGTGTTTACTGCTGCCTTTAATGACTCTTAGTGGTTGCAGGGGGGCAGATTTGTTGAGAGATTCCCACAGTTTCTTGATGAGGATRTAGCTCAAAGTTGTGTCAACAAAAATGGGAACTCAATCAAAAAGTTTCTGTCTTTACTGGATCATTGAGAGCTAAGATCAGTAAGAATCTGAAGCAGGTTTTGATGACCAATGGAGAACTGGGGTCCTTTTTTTAAGATTACGTGTTTTAGTCTTTAATTAACGCACTGGCAAGAGCTGAGAAACTGAAATACCTTTTCCCCCCAAAACCTTTTCTCATCCTTTTTCTGTGAAGGTGTTGTTTTTTTATTCGGCTCTGTTCTTTAAGACAAAAAATAATAATAATAATAAAAAGAACAATCGCACTATAAAAGGAAAAATAAACTCATTGAGTCATTTTATTATCAGTGAGATCAGAGTCTATTGTCAGCTCAGAMCTCTCGTCTCAATCCAGACCTGTTTTTTTTCCTCTCTCTCTCTTCCTTTGGCCAATTA